AGGGGCCTCCCCCCCCCCCCCCCCCCCCAACAAACTGCTCGCAGCTCCATCCCGCACCCTGCCTAGCTGGGCAGCACCTATTGACACCCCCTCAATTCAGCACTTGGGCGGTTGCCCTGCTCACCCCACCCCTGCCTTGCTACGGTACCGTGTTTACCCGATATTTTGTATATGTTATATTTTCAAGAATTAAAGTTTGGAAAGAAGCCTGAAATGTTTCAAAGGGACTCTTCATCTTCCCCCATTACTTCCCTGACTTGTATCCAATGTTTCTCTTCTTCAGCTAATTAAGTCTTTCATGAACACTCAGTTTTTGCCATTGGCCTAAATCAGCTTTGTAAGTTTATTAAAAAGAGCTGTGCTTATTGTGCCTCATGTATTGTCCTGGAAGTTTTCTCTGTATAAACTGTCACTCGGAAAAATTTTTTTCCCCCTTTTTAAATCAAAATATGGGGCCTTTCCAGACTTAGCTGATTGTAAGCGCTGTTTCTGGGTCAATTTTGTAGGCCCAGTCTTCTATTCCACAAGTATTAAGGTGCTGTGAATTCTTCAGAGGACAAGGAAAATCCTGGAGAAAACATTGCCTCTGGTTGATTTAACAGTAACATAATATAGCGAGGACTCTGAAAGGAATTTGGAACAGTCATCCTCTTCCAGGAGAATTGTAGCTCTATATATGTTGGTCCTTGCGGCTGATAGATGAATACGGATAAAAACAGAGAGCATCATAAGTGTTCCAAAATGAAGGCATCATACTTCATTTTTGGGACAAATTGATAATATGATGATAGTCGACAGTTTGAGAGGTTGGTATCTAGAGCATCTGTTTGTGTTTTGTTATTTCAAAAATATATTGCTTTAGGGGGTTACTAAATGGGAAGTGAGTCTCAACTCTGAATTTTCTGGCTTTCCCAACTTTGTGTTATTACTTCAGTATCATAGATGCTTAATATCATATCTCTACCACCAGCATCAGAGTGCCTTGCATATGAGCCAAAATACATATACATAGAACTAGAAGGTTTTCAGGATTATTATGGGAACAGCTCTAGGACATATGGGGTCTTGATGTGGCCAAAGCTGGAAGTGATTCGAAGTTGCAGTTGGCAGAAGGTGCATTATCCTTTTTGGGTGGACAGAGTATGTTCACAGCTATGAAAATTAATTTGAAACCTTTCACTAGCACTTTAATCTGCATTCACACCAGGCAGATAGTGCTATCATTTTAAAAGCAGAGCAGATTTGCAAGTCGTACATCCTGAAATCTTTCATATAAGCACAGGGATGGATGGATGGAATATATCCTTAAGAAGCAAAAAAAAAATAGGTGCAGTTAAGGTATCCAGTTCACAACTGCATCTCTCTCTTGATTTAGCTGACTGCAGATGATGAGACTTTCCTGTCAACCAATGCAGGTGCGGCCCTCAGCCAGTTTGAAAGAGTCTCTAGTGATCTTGGTAAGTCTTTTCATAGTCTTGACATGCAGATATCTTAACATCCTCGCACACTAGTGAAAAAATGTCTGTCTGAGTCCTGATACAAAAGGGAAAATATGAACCAAATATGCCATTAAAAGAAGAAGTATGATGTACACTTCCTAGTAGAGTATAAGCAGAGGTAGTTAAACACTATGCCAAAATTAAAGCAAAGTGGAGAAATGTTTACATGGACTAAACCATTGCGTGTCCCACTTATGGTGGAGGCCTTGGAGAACTATGGTATATCTCATAAAAAGGGACAGCATTTTTAGCATTAAAGTTATTTGGGGTTTCTAGTTCTCCAGAACTCGTGAAAGGAGCTGCTTTCCCTGGGCCTAGAGATTTTGTGGGCAATACTAACAATAGTAAAAGGCTTTTTCTGCCACCATTCTCATAATCTAGTGGTGAAACTGATAGTACATTTAAGATGCAGCAAGTGGTGCATGTATATATTCTTATCTAGTATCATATCTAGACCTGTTTTGGGGAGGAAAAAAGGAACCCTACTGGACAAAATTTTGATATAATTTTTCCTCAAACTAAAGAAAAGAAGCATTTACCATAAATCTCTCTTCTCATTTCCCTCTTTGCCATACACTTGTTTCCAGTGAAGCAGGGGCAGTCAATGTGGGGCAGGTGCATGAGGGTCCAGGTCAGGCCAATGCATAAGCATGAATTTGAATCCTGAGTCTTAGCCTTAGAATGATTATTTGTGGCTGTAGTATAAAGGTCCTGGGAAAGTTGGACAGATGTGCTCCAGGTATATTTGTCCCTGAAGCTCTTCTCCTGGCCACATTTTTTTCAGGTCCTTGTATAATTAGTCCGAGCACAGAATCTAATGCCTCTCTAACCAGTTCCATGTAAAATGTTTTTTTGTTTTCAATGTACAAGCTTAATTCGTTACCCCCAACCTACTCTTGTGCTATTTTGTCTTACATAAAATACCACAAAATAACCTCTCAAACACATTCCCTGCTAATGTTGTATGTTTTTCTCTATCTCCTCATCTCCCTTCCAGTTTAAAAACAATCTGTTTTTTGTTTGCTTCCCTAGGATCTGGGGACAAAGTCTTTGCTCTGGCAAGTGTTGAAGTAGAAAAAGCAAAACAGTGAAGAGGTGTGTGGGACTAGAGTTTCTCCTGTTGGACTTTTACTGTGTTGTTCTTTTCTTTTTTTTTTCTCATGAGACTCTCGTGTAAATTGTTGCACAAAAAAAGACCCTGAAACCTCATGATCTTAACTACAAGATAACATGAAGTGACCAGACATAAAGTGCACTTTGGAGACCTCAGTGTCTGCACTCCTCCGCAGTATACGTACTGAGGCTAAACACTAAGTGGTACTTTAAAAACTAAACAAGAAAAAGTGAACTTACTCTGATTGTTGTCTTTGAAAAAATAGATTGTTTTCCACTTTTTTTCAGTGTGTATTTCTCTAACCATTAAAGTACCGTCTTTTTTGCATATGATGGCAGTGAGCAGCTTTTTTCCAAAACAGAGGATCTCAACAAATGGATCAATCTGCAAATAGCTCTTGGGCTTGTTTGTAAAGTCCTGTTTTGTTTTTAATTTGTTTGGAGTCTGAGCAGTGTAGTCACACACCCATTGTATCTGTTTAAAAATGACAGTGTTTGTTTGTTTGGAACCCCGTCTTCCTACAAGCTGTCTCAAACTCCAGAGTGAGACTCTACACAAAACATCAGTGCCTGCCTGGTCTGTACATGAATGAATGCCATTGTATCTTGGTCTTGATTGGCAAACAATAGAAGCCCTGTTGGAAATCTTCTGGAGTAATTTAACCTCATGTATTGAAATGACAGGGGAGCATTAGGAAATGGCAGAGAGAGGCCTGTTGTGTGACCTCTTCCTGTACCCCAGGCTGTATACTCTACAAGGTACCATTATGTTCCCAGATTTCTAGGGCAGCGTGAAATATAGTGCAAGCTGAAACAAACAGATAAAAAGACCCCATCATCAGCCTGATCTACATTATAACTGAGCCAGAGGTCTCTCTTGCAACCCTGTTGTCTCCTGACCTGGATATGAGATTAGTTAAGTTCCTTTGTATATGGGGCCTCTCTTCCTAAGAAGAAACCTTGCACTATCCAGGTTTTTTGCTTGGGTCTGGAACTACAGTTAGGTTTTTGAGACACTACAACTCTTGTTGTATGGCAATCAGGTTACTGACTAATAGGTAGTAATGCCACTGGGACCTTAGATTTGCTTTTTATGGATTGGATGTGGTTGTTTTGTGGCTCAAATGGAAGAGAATGTGCATAGTACTTTAGACTTGCATTTGATTAATTTTTCTGGTAATGTATCTTCCTGCACCAGGATATCGTTCCAACTTGTACAGTACAGGCAGCCTTACTCTCTAGCTCAGTGTTTATGAAAGCCTTGTGCCAAAAGGCTTTTTTTTGCTGGGGAAGCTTGCTCAGCTGCTTATTGGAGGTCAAATTTCTGCTTTGCTCAGTTCTGCATGCTAGTCTGATTGTACCAAGGGCTGTGAATGCTTCCCTAACAGCCATTCATGCTGGTAAATGTTACCCTCTCTTTTTAGCATTGTTTATATCTGTACCTTTTCTCTAGCCATAAGGGACATTTCTCAGATGTATACTTCAGGGTTCTGCATCAGTTAGGAAAATCAGTCCTTTCCCTGCACAGTAGAAAGTAAGCTTGTCAGTTCATTGCCTGTATTGGAGGGAGAGAGAGTCTGTCGGCCTGTCTTCAACTTGGAAGCAAGAATTACAGGGTTCCAAAGCAAGAATTGCAGAGTACTGCAGTACATCTGTTTGGGAATGTGTGCATTAACATCTGTATGGGCCAGAAGTGGTAATATGATAAATTTGTCTCTTTTTTTTTTTTCCTCTACACAAAGTGTATCCAGACAGTTGATGTTTTCGTTGTTGTTTTCATCTTCACTAGATGTTTTAGATATGATTTATCCCTTCCTTTTTTGAAAGCTTTCAGTGTGGAGGAAGCACTATGAAGTATCTTTGGCAAATGGAACAGTTGGCTAAGGGTGGCGTGACATGTACTATTATTATACAGTACCCCACAGAGAATGCGTGACTTTAGAAATCTAATGTGTTCATGACTCACAGATGCAGTCAGTCTTCATGTTAACAAGCTGCCTAACAGAGGCAGAAATTTGGTAAAAAAGCTCTTCTTGATTACTTAGAAAATTTACATATATCAGCATTATCTTTCCAAAAGATAAAGTAAATTTCTATATAGTGAAGTTATATATAAAATGGAATAATTGAATGCTGCAGTGACTGCTGCTTATGCTTACGCTATAGCAGGTTAAAATTATCAGGAAGGAAGAAATAAAGATCAACCATTGTATAGTTGAGGTGACTTTCTCCAAGATCTAGGAGGATGAGATGTTAAAGCAGTGTTCTGACTAGTGGCTTTACAGAGGTTTGTGGCTATTCAGATAGGCTGTGTTACTGCAGGAAGAGTATCCTTTATTTGTTCCGAAGTTTTGCTGGGCAATAGGGAAGTAAAGGCGATTTTTTTTCTGAGATCCCCCTAACTCTAACTGCAGCTAGTTGCTGTGGCCTTGATGGTTTATACAGGTCTGTCTGAATGTTGTTTCATTACATGTATCTGTTTGCTTTTCGCACACAAAATATAAGTATTTCTGTAGGAACCACTTTTCCTGGTAAGAGGAAAATGGTATATAAGATGAGCAAAAATCATGTTTTCTCAGTAAACTCGATCCTTATCTCATATAAATACCATTTATTTGTAATAACAATAAGGAAATACATATGTTGACAAAAAGTACATAGAACAGTTTCTAAATTAGTACAGGTTCTGGAACATCAGCTGTCTTTATGCCAGACAGTGATTTTTTTTTTTTTTTTTAATTCACCATTGTGATCAAGGTACTAGAAGGGTAAACTGGCATAATTCCATTTGCATAAATGGAGTTGCACCTGCATTCACAAGGATTGGATTTGACCCAGTGAGTGGCTCCCTCTGTGATTAATTTTGTAGAGCAGTAGTTTTACTTAAAATATGTTTTATTGCTTTATGTCCACATTAGAGGCTTGGGAGAAAGTTTTATGTGGGTTGTTTTTGTGTTGTTTTCTTTGGTTTTGGTTTGTGTTGTCTTATAAAATGTACATGTACCATCCGATACAGTGCTGAAAACCTGAAATGCTACATAATAGAGCCCTGTTATGGGGCTAAATAGTGACATCACTTGTACTGTAATTAGAAAACAAAAAGTGGACCAGTCTAGCTGCAAGTTAGATAGTGGAAGAAGGGTAAAATAAATGAAGTTTTATCTAATTTTTCTCATTGTAAACTAAGGTTTCAGTACAAAACCAGGAAGAAATTTTAAAAATATTTGATGGTTTTCCTCATTATAAGCCACTGCTCAGCTGGGAAAAAATAAAAATATAGATGCAAAGGAGTCCTTCTCTTTCATCAGTGAGGCATTCTGGACTTAAGAATTTTAGAGAAGCTTTTATTTAGGTGGGATCCTTTGTCTATTATCACAATTGACTGTTTTTGCTTTCTGGGGCAGCGTTATCTTCACTTAGACAAAGACTGGCTACAGCTTCATAGCTGAGACGACAGCTTATTAAAGGGCATTATAGCCAGTCTAAAATTACTGAAAACAAAACAGCCCATGGGGACTTCAACCTCCTCCTTCTTTTTTCTCTTTTACTCTGCTCATTACTGGTGCTAAGTAACATTTCTCCTCTGCCTGAAATGCTTGTAGCATTAATATGTAAATGAAATCTTTTAGCATTCCCACAGATCCCAGTGAGCTTACTGTACAGCAGTATGGAAATTACTTTTCTTTCTCTGCAGTTCTAGAAAGGTGGTGTTAACTGCTAGAAGAACTGCTTTTTTTATAGTTTAGTTGATTTGTGGGTTTCTCAAAGTCACCATATTGCAAGACATTGCAAAATTGCTGTAAAAATTATGCCCCTTTCTGCATAGTGTATTTTTGTGTCAAGTATATGAGAACACAAGTGGTTCTTTATTTTTAATTAATACTGTTTCTAGATGTCTGCTACTAGAGGGATTCACAAGTTTAGAGATCAGCCATATTCTGGAAAATTTAGTGAGATCTTGACATTCCTGCAAATATGATTAGGAGGGTTGTGATTTGTCACTGAACTTGTTAAGTAGAAACATTGTGTTTTTATTCTAAAGCATTTTGAAGTATGTGTCTGGATATAAGTCCTCCCAGTTCAAAAATAATATGGTAGAAATTGCAGCGACAAAATTACCATTGTCATTCATTATATTATTTTCATAATATTTATTTATTGTACCATTTACACTACATCATAACAAATACATAATATAGCAATATTATAAGTATACGATGATCATTGTAATAATTAATAATTGTACAGTTATTCTGGTGAGTGATAAAGGCAAAGAGGTTTTCTTGAGGACAGACGAGGCATATGGGCTTGCTCTTTGTTTTCCTTTCAGGAAGTTCCGTCTTGGGGTTTAGGAAGGTGAAGAGGTGGGGTGAATGCCAAAAATGACTAATCTCAACTGCCAAAGTAGTTCTGAGATTCTGCACAGAAGGCAGACATGTCTAGTCATATTTTGGGAGGGGTCAAAGTACGTACCTTAACTGTGACATTAGATCCTAGCTTCAAAATGCCTTGGCCATGGATGTGTCTTCTTTTATAAAATCACTAGCAGTATGGAGCTATTAATATATGTAACAATAAATGCTTCTCTAAGGTAACCTAATTGTCAGTGGTTCAGTGGTTAGGCACTTCTGAGAGTTAGCAAGCTAATCCGTATTGCATGTTAAGAGTGTGCTATTATACCTAGCCATCCTGCTGTTGTGCCTCCACTGGTAGCTTATGCCCAATGAGTCTGCACATTGTGAAAAACAAACTGCCCCATATTTTATTTTTGTGGCAGTCATTTGCTCAGGAGAAAAAATCTTAACAATAAATCAGTTTCCAGAGAAAGACATGATTCTTGTGGTTAATACACAGGATTAAGACTCAGGAGATCTGCTGTCTACTCAACTCAGAGAAATCACTGGGTGTCTCTTCCCCTCCCCACCCCCCCTTCCATAAAATGAGGATTGTGGTACTTCTTTGTCTAATGTCAGAAGGCTAAGTCACTGTAAACTGCTTTGGGATGAAAGGTATGTTACATACATTTGATTTACCATTTTAATTATAGAATGCAAGTCGCTACAAGCATGGTAATGCAGTTGCCTACAGTACACTTAGGCAATGTATCATTTTCACTTTTGAATCGTATTCCTCTGCAGTGATATGATTTGCTGGTTGTAAGATCAAAAAGAAAAGGTAACAGAAAAAGCGAAAGCTGTGAATACTTTGTATGCATCTCCTATTTCTGTCTCCCCATATTTCCCCCCCCCTCTTGTTCTTTGATCTTGAATGGGAAAATAAGATGTCATTTGTGTTATCACTAAAGGAAAAATACAAGAGGTTATTTGAAGGGCTCTCTAATAGGCTATCAAGGTAATTCAGCTGCAGAAATTTAGCTCAATTTAGTAGAGAATTTTGTGTTAATGTTACCACCTTCTTAGCTGCTTTGAATAGGGGGTTGGACTAGATGACCTCTGAAATCCCTTGCAACGCTATGATTCTGTGGTTAGTGGCAGCTATGACAGGCAAATTAGACTTAGCCATGTATCTTTTTTCAGTCATTGTAAACACTTTAACATGCTGAATCTTTGTTTCTTCACATTCTTACAGAGAAAAGCGAAGTAAATTGGCTTTTACAAAAAAAAAAAAATAAAAGAATTCTAAGCTGCCAGTGTCACAGAGATGACTTCTCCCACTTCCCTGCACTCTTTCACCCCCATCCAGCTCTATAACCTGGATAAAGGCTCTCTGCTTACTAAGGAAGTAAATTTCTTTTTCTCTTATAGGTGTATTTAGCCTCCAATTAGTAAGATAAATAGGAATGCTCCCTAATTTATCCCTGAGCTCTTATCTAGGAGCCATGGAAGTAGCTGACATTTGAGTATCTTGTACCAAGAAAAAAGCTTTGGTCTGTCCTAGGAGGAGTTCTCCATAGGTTTTGTCTGCCACACTGTGTCTAGTATTTCATTAAATGACTCAGCTATACCCTTTTTTTTTTTTTTTTGGTTAGAGGAATGAAAAATCTTTTCTTACAAATTCAACTTCTGCTTCACTCTCTTTTCCCACCATTTACTTGGCAGTCTCTGCCCCTCTATAAACATGATCAAAGTAAGAGGTCACAGGGCATTATAAACTTGTTCAAATGATTTCTTGATGATGACTTTTGATTCTTTGGACTACCATATTTATGATTTTTAGACAGTAGGCTGTAAGGGACTCCATTCTCTTGGCATGGCTGGGGGGAAAAGGGAAAAAAAAAAAGACTTAACCTCCAGACATCTTTTGGGAATCTAGACTGCATCTCAGAATATCCACACACACAAAAAAGTGGTATGCTGCCTTGTCTACCCTAGACTTTCAACATGGGTTGGAATAAGTTAGCTAATGTGTTCAACACACTTTTCAATCCAAGTCTCAACAAAACATTTGCTGATTTTCATTTTTACCTTTCAAGAAAATGTTCTTTGACATTAAAACTAAACTTTACCTAAATCAGGCCAAGTCTTTTTTCCTTTCTTTTTCCCAAAAGCAGCCTAGAATTTGGGCTCCTGAGCTTAAGCTCTCAAATGCTTGGGACTTCATTCTTCAAAAGGGTCTCTAACATGAGTGTTGCTTCACCTGGAGGTTTTCCCCTTGCATATGTGGAGGATACAACTACCAGTACTGGAGGGAAAATGCCTCTTCTGCTGATTAACAGACTGCTAGTTGCAAACAAAATAAAGGCTGAGGGCAGTATCTTGATAGACCTGTCTGTTGTTGGTAGGTCAGTATCTTTCAAGACTGCTTTGTGGTCTTGGGAATACTAAGTTTCATATAGATGTAGCAGTTTTATTTTTTTTAATAATATTTACAGATGAGGCCAAGGAGAAAAGAGATCTCTCATCATGTGACCTCTAAGAAATCTGAAATGAATAAAATGGGCTTTTAAAGCCCTACCCTTAATTTAAAAGGTCACTGCTGCATGTCTGTCTTTTGTTCTACATCTTAATCTGTCATCTTTTTGAACATCCATCTCTGTGGCATCTAAGCCCTAAACAGTGCACTAAAGGCAGCTGAATTATTTTTTTTTTTCAAAGCTTTGTGTCACTGATCCGATATATTGTCCCAGTCCTATGTCAAAGATCTGGTAGCTGTTAGTCAAGATGAGTTGCAAGGTCCATCTTGATACCTTCTCATTTTGGGACACTGGTAACAGCACAGGAATATTTTTAATGAAGTCTGCTTAGTTTCTCAGAAAGCACTGGACTGTGCTTTGTACTAGAAACTTAGTTTTGAGGATTTTGAATTTTCAGACTAATTCTGACATGGAAACATTGATCAAATTGAAAGTAAGCCTCTACCAGAGTTCCACAGACATCTTTTGAGAGGAATTCAGTTTGCATTATTCTTGTATGTGACTTATTTCCATTAATAATGAAAGCAGGAGCTGTGTGTGTACAAATGCTGCTAGAGCCCTTAATGAGAAGAAATGCCAAGGAAAACAGAGGGGCTTGGAATGTGGAAGCAGCTGTACCATGAAAGCATCCTAAATGAATTTCAGAGTGGATTAAGGTAAAACTGAATGTCTGAAAAGAGTAGATTGAAGCAGAGACTATTTGTTATGTATCAAGCAAGGACTCAGAAGAGCTAAGCAATTGGGAGATGCTGTAGCTCACTAGCAGCAGTTGCATTAAGCTAAACAGTAAAGAGGATAGTCTTGGAACTATTCTGAAAAATCCATGAAATCTGCAATTCAGTGCCTTGTAATAATACTTGGCACTTTTAGAGCACCTGTCAACAAATTTCAGTGTGATTGATAACACATAAAGAAGTAAGCCTCCAAGCATCCCTTTGCTGTTGGTAAGCCTTTATTACCACCATTTTGTGGATGGAGAATTTGAGACAGCGATAGGTTAAGGGAAACATTTGCTCAGGCAAAGAGTACTTGCATGTAGCTCTGGCAGACTTGTCGGCGCTTAGCACCTCCATAGATTAAGACCTAAGTGACTTGTCCAAATCAGTGGCAGAG